TTCAAGATCTCAGACCTGGCTACAAGGCCCTACATTTCAGGTTATTTATGCCCCTGTGTAATCACTCCACTTGAGGGTGGGCTAGACTTACTGTCTCACTTCTAATGAACAGAATATGGCAGGAGTGATGGTAGATCACTTCTGAGATTGCATTGTGCAATAACTGCTGCTCCTGGCACACTTTTTCTCTTTGATCACTCACTCTAGAGAAGCCAGCCACCATGTCAAGATGCAGCCCTATGGAGAGGCCCGTGTGGTGAGAAACTGAAGCCTCCAGCCAACAGCTAATGAGGCAATAACCTCCATGTGAATGGGCTTGCAAACAGACTTTTCACTCCAGTTGAGCCTTAAAATGATGTCAGCCCTGGCTGAGAGCTTGACAACAGTTTTGGGAGAGACAGTGAGCCAGAACCACAACGGGATTCCTGACCCTCAGACACTGTGTGAGATAAGAAGCACTTATAAAGTTGCTAAATTGGGGGTAATTTATCACACAGCCACAGAAAACTAGTAAGTGCCCTCTCAGTCCTAGAGGTTTGGCTTCTTACTCCGCTGTTCCTGTAATCTTCACAGTTCTCTTTACTTCTCATGATGTATGCTGTTAGTGAGTAAAGATTACATAATCTAGCAACCCAGTAACAGTTTATTACTAAGAATTCTTTAAATCATTTACCTGATCTCATTTTAGGTTAGCTGCATATATGTGTGAGACATATGTGTAATCTCATCATATCAGTCTCCTTACGGTTAATATTAATAACACCTCTTTATGTTAAACTTCCCCTATCAAATTGTGTGGTTTCCATCTGACTGACAGATAAAGCTGATGCTACTGGTGAGAGATCACTCTTTGAGAACCTCTGGCTGAGAGTAATCATGACTTGACTCCTAGACCTGGGACCAATCCCCCTGAAGTCCACGGCCACAACAAAATCAAGCAAAAGGGCGGAAATGGCTGTCAGAAAAGTAAGAGTGTCTGTTTTCCATAATTCAAAAAATTGCTACCATGTTTCCCTGAAAATAAGCCCTACCCATAAAAGAAGCCCTAGCAGGATTTCTAAGCATTTGCACAATATAAGCCCTACCACAAAATAAGACCTAGTGATGGGTATGGCCACACAGCACATCTGCACAACCCATGCATTTGGTTGCGGAGCGGGAAAGAAGACAAGCAGCCCTTCTCATCCGCCCGATGAGAGCCTATTGCTCGACATGAGAGATTGGGGCCAGTGGTTCTAAAGGAAATAGAGTCACAAGAAATTCAGAATAGAATTTGGGGTTTGGAGAGTTATGATGATGTTCCAGAAGACAACTTGACTATATTTGAATAAATGTAGATTGTTGTGCCACACTTAAAAATAATAACACATCCCCTGAAAATAAGCCCTAGGGTGTCTTCTTGAGGAAAAATAAATATAAGACCCTGCCTTATTTTCGGGGAAACACTGCTTTTCATACATTTGGACAATATTGTAAAAAATGTTACGAGTGCCTATTTATGATTCAGAGAAACAGGTCTGAGTGGTTTTAGAACTGGAGGTGAATTTTGCGGATTGATTACACCAAATATAACACACAGCTAATCTAAAATAAGATCAGGTAAGTAACTTGAATTCTCAGTAATAAACTGTTATAGTGTTGGTATATTTATGTAATCTTTACCTACCACAGCATACGTCATCAGAAGAAAACCATTCAACACTTAACTTAGAAATTAACAAGTTACCCTCTGCATTAGTTTCTTAGAGGTGTCACAAACTGGGTGGCTTAAAACCACAGAAATTTATTGTCTCACAGTTCTGGAGGCTCCAATTCCAAAATCAAAGTGTCAGCAGGGCCAAGTTCTCCTGAGACCTATAGGGGAGAATCCCTCCCTGCCTCTCCTAGCTTTTGGTGCTGAAAGGCACCTGAGTCCCTGACTCCATCATCACATGGCTATATCTTCTTTCTCCAGGTGCGTCTCTGTTGCTCTTCTTTTCTTATAAAGGACACCAGTCATACTGAATTAAGGGCCAGTATGGCCTTACCTTAACTAATTACATCTGCCACAACTTTATTTCCAAATAAGGTCATATTCAGAGGTTCCAATGGGTTAGGACTTCAACATATCTTTTTTGGGGGGAGGAAAGGGGAGACACAATTCAACTCATAACACCTTCATCTTCATGCAATTTCACATCTATCAAAATAAATGCATAGTTTCATATCTTTATCTTAATTGCATTCTCAACATATTTTAAAAAATAAAACATTTTTTAACAATTATAATTTTAATTACATAGAGATATCACAAGTTCTATTAGTTATTTGTGGTTTAATTTTCTTTTAAATATAAGTCAGTTTGGCATCTAGTTGAAGTCAAAACCACACATCCAGATATAAAGGGTAAAAAGAAAACCATGCAATTTCAGAAGTTTGAGTTGAACCAGTTTATCTCCTTCTGTGAAGGTGAAAATGAAACTCACCTGCTCCCCACATAGCTTTTTTGTTCTCATGAAGAATGTTACCAAGATCAAACACCTGTCAAGAATTCATCTTTCACTAAACATTGCAGTAACCTACTTACTCCAAAGAGAATTGAGATGGCAACCTGTAATAAGTATTAATGATGGATTTTTTTTAATGCTTGTCAGGGATTTTTGTTATAAAAAAAAAAAATGAACACCAAGTCACAAATATAACAGGTATATTTACGTAAAAATAGAAGAAATCTAGAAAAAAACCAACATTGATACATGAATTCTAAACCATATGACTGAAATTGTTCACAGTAAGAAAGAGGCTACCATTTATTGAGGCCCTACTTAAGCTACCAAATCAAACAGTTTGCTAGGCAATTTATATACTTCACCTAACTCAATCACTAACATCCCTGTGAGCTAAGGATTGTTATCTACAGTTGCTGATCACATACAAGAAAAGTGATGTTTACATAAGTCATTTGCCTTCACACCAATGGCTCTTTCAAAATTACCTTCTTAGTTTTGGCCAACTTGTCCTTTCACAAATATGAAATACATGGGGAGCAGGGAAAGGAGGTGAAGTAGATCTTGGAACATTAGTGGAAAAACACAGCCTGGTAAATATATGGTTTTACCAAGCTTGAAAACAGTTGTGCTGACGCTCACATCTTTTATTTCCACTTTCCTCCCCCCAAGTTAAGGTTTGTTCAGATACCCCTGAAGGGTAGTAGAATCCACCCCAAAATATGCCACTTTGGCATCAGGATTATTTTAAGCTAAAAGCACTCGAAAAACATCACAAGGGTGTTCTAAACGTATTTTCTTCCTAAAAGGTAATAAAACAGAAACTTTTCTAAAGAAGACAGAAGAATGGCCAACAAACATATGAAAAATGACCAACATCTCTAATCATCAGGGAAATGCAAATCAAAACCACAATGAGATATCACTTAACTCCAGTGAGAATGGCCTTTATCAAAAAGTCTCCAAACAATAAATGCTGACGTGGATGCTGAGAGAGAGGAAGACTCCTACACTGCTGGTGGGACTGCAAACTAGTTCAACCTCTGTGGAAAAGCAATATGGAGATACCTTAAAGCGATACAAGTGAATCTACCATTTGATCCAGCAATCCCATTACTGGGCATCTACCCAAAAGATCCAATGACACTCTACGAAAAAGACACCTGCACTCGAATGTTTATAGCAGCACAATTCATAATCGCAAGGCTGTGGAAACAGCCCAAGTGCCCATCAATCCAAGAATGGATTAATAAAATGTGCTATATGTATACCATGGAGTACTATTCAGCTCTAAAACAACGGTGATATAGCACATCTTATATTTTCCTGGTTAGAGCTGGAACCCATACTACTAAGTGAAGTATCCCAAGAATGGAAAAACAAGCACCACATATACTCACCAGCAAAACTGGTATTAACTGAGCAGCACCTAAGTGGACACATAAGTACTACAGTAATAGGTTATTGGGCAGGGGGGAGGGGGCGGGTATATACATACATAATGAGTGAGATGTGCACCATCTGGGGGATGGTCACGCTGGAGACTCAGATTTGTGGGGGGAGGGGGGAAAAGGGCATTTATTGAAACCTTAAAATCTGTACCCCCATAATATGCCTAAATAATAAAAAAAACCACCAACAACAAAAAACTTCCATGTAAAAGATGACCTCCCTATACCAGAAGGAAAGAAACACTTATCATTGGAGACAGGTCGTCAAAGTCAAGGGATTTCTGCACAAACTGACCTTGTTAAAATAATTCTAATCTTCTCTTAGCCTCCTCAAATATTTTAGTTACTTTTCCACAATTGCCACCCTTGGTTCGGTCTAATATAAAAGCATGTAGTTTCCTCACTTCTTTGTGTCATTTCTTTATGAAGTCTCCCATGTCACAAAACGTATGAAATAAATGTGCGTGCTTTTCTCCTGTTACTTTGTTTTATAGCAATGAAATTCTCCAGCGCAGCTCAGGACCCTAAGGGTAAAGTTTCGCCTCCCTTACACGCGTTTCCAATTCCTAGGCAGACAAGCAATAACCGCTCCGACCCTACTGTTATCGGACAAGGCTTTTCTGCTGTTGTTCCTATCCGGTACAGTGCACCGGCGGGGGCCCGGGATAGCCTGAGGAAAATGTGTGGAGAAACGACGTGGGCGCGAGCTCCGCAGCTGGAGGGGGGGGCACAGCCCCCGCGGGCACATAAACCTGCACAGCTAACCGCCCGCGCTAGGTGGTCACTTGCAAGCGCCAGGAAGTAAAGCGCTCCATCAGAGTATGTCACGGACAGGAGGGCCTGGAGGCACCTGTCCGCGAGAATGCAGCTCCCACGACGGAAGCCCAAGACCCTGCAAGCCCACCTGCCGGGAAGGACCGCCCGGAGCCGGCGACAGGCTGCCGGACCGCGGGTCCCCCACGCCGCGGCCAGAACGAGGCTGCGCGCGCCGGTGACGTCAGGCCGCGGGCGGGTGGACGCTACCATTGCCGGCGCCCCCCGCCCGGCCCGGCCGCCGCCTCACCTTTCCGTCGCTGTGAAAGGGGAGGCCGAGCTCATCCGTGGTGGGCGGGTGGCAAGCAGAGCCCATCTCCTCTGTCGCTCCAGCGGAGAGCACCGCGGAGGCGGCGGCCTCGTAGTCCGGGAAGGGGTTGGCGAACGCACGCTCCTCCATCTCTGCCTCCCCTCCCAGGTGCAGCTTCAGTCTCTTCGACATGGTCTCGCCCATCTCCGCCGCACGGGTCTCCAGCGGGGCCGCAGGACGGCGCGCGCGGGGGGACAAACCTCCTGCCTCGGCGCTGCGGCTCCAGCAACGCGCCGGAAGCCCGGGCTTTCGCCGGCCGCCACTGCGGGCCGCCCCTACGAAGGCCCAGGCCACGGGCGGGGAGGGCGAGCGGGGCCTCGGCGCGGGCGGCAGCGTCTCCGCAGGGCCTGCCTAGCGGCGGGTGGCTAGTACATCGGGCTACAGCTGGGCGCTGCACGTGGTGCCCGGGCAGGCTCTGGGGCGCCGCCCGCGCCTTCCCCGCGCTCGGCCGCGGGGCAGGGACCACGGCGGCGCGCAGGACGGGCCGGGGCCCGGGTGTCGCCGCTTCCGCTCCCCGCTGCGGACCAGCACGCGGAGACTTCGCGGGCAGCGGCGGGGCGCGTTCCGCCTTCTCGGTCACTCGGCCTGTGCGGGCCGCGGCGGCGAGCGCGTCCCGGGGCTCAGCTCCATCCTCGTCCTCGTCTCCGCCCGGCGCGCCGGCCAAAGGAAAAGCAGCAGCTCTTTGTTTGGTATTAAGAGAAAACACCGCAAGGATAGTCTCCGGGGGACGAGGGGGAGGGAGACAGTCCCTCCTATTCATCCCTGTCGGGAGGGGGTGTCTTTGGAGGAGGAGCCACGGCCTTTTTTTGTTGTGGTGGGTTTTGTTTTTTGGTTTTTTTGGTAATGTTTTATTTTCAGTCCGTTTGTTTTGAATAAATGCACATAATCTTTGGTAACAGATACTATGAAAGCACAGTAATAATCCAGATATTTTATTGACCAGAGAGATTCCTCAAACATTAATGTAATTGTCCAGGAGCATAATGTGTACCATAAAGGCCACAAGCAAATAGATCTTTGCATTTATATAATCGTGGTATTTATTCACAGTCTTTATTGGTTCTCTTTATTCTTGTTATTTATGTAGAACCAAATAGATGTAATGATTTCTCCTCCTTGAGGAAAATGTCTTATTTCTATTTTCTTCCATCTAATAAACATTGAGCACCAGATGGTACTAGGTGATGAAGAAGTAAGGTTAAAAAGATAGTTTCTGCCTTTGTGGGGATTCCAAGGTAGTGGGTGAGAAAGATAAGGATTAGGGTATAGCTGATGGGGGACACTTCCTGGAACCAAGAGAGGTACACATTAATACAATGTAAAAGGTTGCAGTAAAGTTCAATCACCCCTGGCCTCTGTGGCCTCAGAGTGGGGTGATGTGCAGAAAGTCTGGCTCCCTACTGCCACCCTATTCTAGTGTCTTCCTGGACGTGTGAAACACGCCTACCAAGAGCATGACTGTGGGAAATTATAGTGTAGGAGAAAATAATTTTAAAGGGGACACTCAGCATAAACACCCTCAATGTTCAAGGAAACAGCTGATAGAACAGGTTACTATACTGTGGCATCCGTTGGAGATGCCACTTTCCTGCTACTTTCCCTTGACCAGGAGTCCATCTTTCTCCCACCCTCCATGAAGGACATGTCCTCAGTGCTCTCAAATTTCCAGACCTATACTGTGAAGGAAATCCAGTCTACAAACTACTGATGCCAGCGTGCCTTAGGAGCCATCCCCCTGCCACTTTAGGGACTTGACAAAATAACCCACGGTAGATGTTCCCCAAAGCCTGCAAAGTTATTGAGACTGCAGCAGCATAGACAGGTACAGCAGAAATGTCCATGCTGGCTTTGCTCAGCTACACCTGGTGAACTCAGATCTCTCTTTGGCATAAGGTGAAGGTAGTCTCATTCTTTGTGCAATCTGTGAGTGGATAACTGGACAGCTGTTGGCAAGTGTACAAGTTTGTCCTAAGTAAAACCAAAACTTTCAAAAGCTACGACATCTAAACCCATTTTAAGGAATTGCCATATTTTCCTAAATGCTGTCCAATCTGCAGTTTCCTTGCCCTCAGTGGAGATTTCACTTACACCAGGGGTCCTCACAGTTTTTAAACAGGGTGCCAGTTCACTGTCCCTCAGACCGTTGGAGTGTGCGCACTATGGGCCTGGGACGCTAAGCAGAACAGGCAGCGGTGGCAAAAATGCTCTGAGGGCGGGATATATGTGCTAGGTGGCCCGCATGTGGCCCTCAGGCCGTAGTTTGAGGATGCCTGACTTACACTATTTGACAGAGAAGTGCCAGTTTTCCTTTCTTCCTCCACTTGTATCCTGGAGGCTTTAATGCAGACAGCATGGGGATCCATTCTACAGCCCTTTTAAGCCCAGGGCCATCTTCCTCTGGTGGTCACTCTTGAGGAGTGCAAAGACTTGATCCATGCCTTGGAATTACAACTTTTATTTACCTTAGGACAAACTAAGTTCTTAGCCTGGGCACCCTTCCTTACTCTTCTATGTAAGGGAGGGGGCAAGACAAAGTGCAATATGTCCCCATTCAAAGCAACCCCCTAGGAGTGGTGAAGACACTTAGCAGCTGCCTCTCCTTTTGCTCAAAGGAAAACAAAGTTAAAGGACACGAACTGGGGCGAAGGGAGCATCCGTGTTCTACCCAGGTTGGCAGGCTCTGTGAGGGCCCAGGGAGTGAGACTTGGTCCTGAGGGACACGGGTTTTCCTGGGAGTGAGTGGGGGGGTGCACACTGGCAAGGGAGGTAGGGGTACATGTGAAGGCCTGAGTTGTTTTGTTTTTTATTTATTAACCAAAGCATTTTGGACTTTAGCTGAGTTTGGGTTCTGTTAGCATTCCTGGGAAGAAATGATGTTGCAATTGGAGAGCCTCTTTTTTTGCTCAAGTTCCTGTGGTGACTCTCAGCGTCTATCCTCTGTGAGCACAGGGCCACAGCTCTCATGGGACTTCTGAGTGGGGCTGCTTAAGTGGCTCTTACCAGAGCAGAGTGTGGTTATCCATGAAAATCTGAGTCAAAATAAGCAATTTTGTACTCTTCCATTCTCTCTACATGGGATCAAAATCTATCATGGCTGCCCCAAGTATCTACCTTGATTTCTAGATCTCTGTAGGAATGAGTGGAAGGATTTAACTTATTCTAAACTAATAGATAGGAAGGCAAGAATGAACTCAGAAGTTAGATCACAGGAAAGGTTACAAAGGAGAAAGAGGTCCTCTCTGCAGATATATCACATGCGGCCAGGCCTAGTTCCAGGTGCCACACTCACATGGGCAGAGTGCAGCATGTTAGGTCAGCACCTAAGGGGGATGAGCAGCTGAGCTCAGAACAGTCTCTGACATGCATTCACCAGACCTTATGTGGGAGACCTCAAACGGCTGTCTGCACACTGGCTTGTCTGGGCATGTCTGTGCAGCCGCACTTCCTCCCGTCCTTCCTGGGGAAAGGCAGCACTGGAGCAGAACACTCCCAGGAAAGGTTCATCCTGAGTGCCTTTAGGCAATAAGAGACAGAAAGATAGAAAATCTGAGGCCCAGAGAGCTCTGACTGCTGGAGTTCAGCCACCTCTGAGAAGGTCTGGAGACTTGCAGACAACCCCAACGTGAGCCTACTTGCAAGTAGTTTGTCTTCTCCTTGCTCTATGAGAGTCAGGTACATCCCTCTGGCCCAAGAACAAAGCCTCAGTTGCTTGCAGGGGTAGCATGATTCAGGGAACAATGTGGGGCTGGGTTAGCACAATGTGGGATCTGTATTGTATATTTCAAAACTCCATGTTTTCCTACTGCCTCAGTATCACCACAAATAGGCTGTGAGCCTCTTCCCAGGTGACCAGTTGCACTCACCCCTGGGACTGTGACCTAGTGACAAACTAGCCAGACTCCTGAATCTTCTCCTAGGCCCATCTGTGTGCTTTCTTGTAAAACATAGTTTTAGCAAAGAGCCCTGATAAGTTAATTTAACAAGAACACGCCCCCCAATACCTGATCACTCCTGATATTTGATTGAGCTTCCCATGCTCCACAAATCCCCAGGTGGTATCTGGTCACCCTGGCCTGTCTTCAGCAAGAATCCTGTTAGTCAGTTTAGCCAGAATCCCCCTTACCCTGATGGTACCTCTCAATAATTTTCCATCTACTCACCCCCACTTTGTTTCTTGGCTATAAATTCCCACTTGCTGTATTTGGAGTTAAGCCTAATCTCTCTCCCTCACTGTAAAATCCCATTGCTGTGATCCCTAAACCTGTCATGATGGTCCTGAATGATGGTCTGAATAGAGTCTGCTTTTCTGTGCTGTGTATGGTTTGAATATTTGTCCCCTCCACAACTCATATTGAAACATAACCTCCAATGTGGCAATATTGAGAGGTGGGGCTTTTAGGAAGCGATTAGGTCATGAGGACTCTGTCCCCATTAATGGCTTAATAACATCCGTGGATTGATGGGCTAATGGATGGATGTGTTATCATGGCAGTGGGACTGGTGGCTATGTAAAAAGTCTTCCTGAGATCTAAGCTAGCACGCTCAGCCCCCAGCCATATGACACCCTATACCAACTTGGGACTCTGCAGACAGCCCCCATCAGCAAAAAGGCCCTCACTAGTTGCGGCCCCTCAACCTTGGACTGTTAGAGGCAAGGACCCTCAAAGACCCTCAACTCCCCTATGACTCATCCTACGCACGGACTTCGCCCTAGAAAATTCCAGCTATAGCTCCGAGAAGAATGCATTCCATGACGTGCTGACCACGGGATGCTCCAGGGAGTGCTGACTGCAATTGTTCCCGACCACCTGCCAGGTTGGAGATGAGTAACCAGTCAAAAACAGGATACCGATAAGACGCTGATTGGGGCTGATTAACCCCGACACAAGCCTCATCGTCGCCCCACTCTATTTTTTTGTTTCTACTTCCTTGTTTCTGTATGCTTATAAAACCTACTAAGAATCTAAGTAAAGCAGATCTTGACAACCATTTGCTTGGTCTCGTTTCTTTCTCTCGCCCATCTCTTTCAGGCACGGTCCCCCTCGCCCCCGCGAGTAACAGAAGGTCCCGCGGGCCGGGACATTGGACTTTTCAGCCTCCATAACTATAAGAAATAAATTCCTTTTCTTTATAAATTACCCAATTTGGGGTATTCTGTATAAGCAACAAAAAATGGATTAAGACACTCTACTTTAACAGGTGCCCCTGAATTTTTCTTTAGCACTAGTGACATTGAAACACACCAGTAAAGTGCCCTCAGCCTTTTTCTTGTGTCTTGCAC